TTGGAAATGATTTGTATGTCGAGAAGGATTGCAAGGGTTGGACATTATGACAACTGCTTCCAGTACACTGATCCATCATTCTTCCATGCTTTTATGTCGAGTAACTCAGAAATCCTATGTTCCAAAACCCATGTATTAATAAGTGGGGATGGCAGCCGTATAGACCATGTATAATGTGCGGGGGAAAGAATAAGATTGTCGTTCCCCCTCTGCTTTTGAGTGAATCAGATTTCCAGATAATCATATATTATGGGGCACTATAATTCCTATAGGGTATTGCAATCCATGTGAGCCTCAGAAAGGGCCATCAGAAGATAGACTAATGCTCATCTTTTCATCTTCTTTGTAGGTCAAGATGGTGAAAGTGAAATAGTAACCGAAGATGCTACCCTTGTGCATGGGGAACCTTCTCAAGGTGCTAATGGCCCCCCAAAAGTTGATTCTAAGGTGGAAATCCTTCACGAGAAAGTCACAAAGCAAATCATTAAGGAAGGTCATGGTCAAATACCATCCAAGTATTCAACATGCTTCTGTAAGTGTCAAGTTGTTGCTTATTCTTGTACTTGTAATATGGTAATCTTTGGATAGTGCTGTGTACATTAGTTGAAAATCCAGTAATTGTTATTTGTGCATGTAAAATTTTACTGTGGGAGTAAGACATGAATGGGATTGTGACTTGCAAACAGACACACACAACATCCACGTTCGCTGAGTTGTGCGTGCGTATAGGAGAAGTAATTGTGCAGGCATTAAAATTTATAAAAGGATGCCTAAGAAGGCTAAGATACATGTAGACAGGTCTTGTAGTGAATTTTTACTCTGGTTTTTTTAATCACTGATTGATTGGCATATGTGTGATAGTGCACTACAGGGCATGGACTGAAAGCACGGGACACAAGTTGAAGACACATGGGATGAACAACGACCACTTGAAATGATTTTAGGAAAAGGTATTAGCCTTGCCGCGTAGTCTGTTACTGTTGATATATACAAAATATATGCAAACTGAGTTCTGGCGTGTTCCTTGTTCAGCCTGCAATTAGTTTTGTGGTTTCTTTATTGCATTTATTCTCTGTAATTACTTGTCATTTCAGATGATTTGGGTCCATAAACATTTAAGCATTTAAGCATTATGTAGTGGTATTAAATACAATGGACTTCTTATTAGTAGTATATTTTTGTCAATGCAACAGAGAAAAAAGAAATGACTGGCTTGGCTATTGGGGTGTCAAGTATGAAGTCTGGAGAGCGTGCCCTATTACATGTAGGCTGGGAGTTAGGGTATGGGAAAGAAGGGAGCTTTTCTTTTCCAAATGTTCCACCATTGGCAGATATATCATATGAAGTTGAGCTTATTGGATTTGATGAAACCAAAGAAGTAAGTTGCTCACTTGCTCTCAAATGTCTTCCCAAGTAGTTACCAATGGAAGTTTCAGAATCTCTTTTCAGGGACTTGCTCCAATAATATAGGTTAACATGTATATCTGTGGGTTCTGCCTTTCATAGGGGAAAGCTCGTAGTGACATGACCGTGGAGGAAAGGATTGGAGCAGCAGATAGAAGAAAGATGGATGGAAATGATTTATTTAAAGAGGAAAAACTAGAGGAGGCAATGCAACAATATGAAATGGTAACGCACTTGTCATTCTTACATATTTTATTTATGGCTGACGAGCTTTTTAGTTGTAATCTATTTTCTAAATTTCCCTTCTGACAACATTCTGGTGGTTTTTCTCAGGCCATAGCATATATGGGTGACGACTTCATGTTCCAGTTGTTTGGGAAGTACAGGGACATGGCTTTGGCTGTTAAAAATCCATGCCACCTTAACATGGCAGCGTCTTTTATAAAGCTCAAGCGCTATGAAGAAGCCATTGGACAGTGCAGTATTGTAAGTATAATGCTATCACAAGAAAGTCATTTAATTTCATGTGTTCAGCAATTGTGCTATTCATCATTATACACTTAGAAAGTTGGGTTGTAGGCTTATTTGGCATTCTGTGAATTTCGAATCTTCATTCACTCTAACCTGCCATTTTGGATTGCCATAGAAATGAAAATGCTTTTAGTATGGACCAGTGAAAAATTTGTAGGCTCACTAGCACCATTCGCCAATCAATAATCGAATTTTGGGTCCTATGCGACTCTTATGATCTCTAGTATGTTACTTTCCATGTTTTATCCTGTTGTTCATACTATATGGATGTTATAACTCAGAATTGGCAAATGCAACTAACATCTTATAGTTGATTTTTCTGTGTCGTTTTGTATGGAGTCTGCTGATATTTACCTTTTCATGAATACCCATAAATTGTCAACGAAACTAACGTCTATTATTGATTTTTCTGCATTGCTTGGAGTCGGCAGATATTTACCTTGTCATGAATACCCTTAAATTGTCATGGAAACTGTGTTAGCTGTAATTGGATGAATGTTTGTAGGTACTGGCAGAGGATGAAAACAATGTCAAAGCGCTATTTAGGCGAGGAAAAGCCAGAGCAGAGCTTGGGCAGACAGATGCTGCGCGGGAAGACTTTCTAAAGGCGCGCAAATTTGCACCTCAAGACAAAGCTATTGCAAGAGAGTTACGTCTGCTTGCTGAACACGACAAGGCTGTTTATCAGAAACAAAAAGAAATCTACAAGGGAATTTTTGGACCAACCCCAGAACCAAAACCCAAACGGAATAATCGGTTGATCATCTTTTGGCACTGGCTGTTGTCATTGTTCTATCGTCTCTTCAGGCTCGAAAGGCATAAGGCTGAGTAGCCAAAGATCTTAAGCTCTTGAATTGTATGACAAACGAGGAAATTCATGTACTGAACCTATTGACCCTGAGGTTCGTTCGTTTACGTTGCGGGAGGGAGTTTAGATGCCAACTTTTTTAGACAGGAGCGAAGATATATTGATCAAATTGAACTGTTCTAAACTATTAGACAAAAGTTTGTTTACTGAGTTTCGGTTGTGAAATTTCCATCGCTGCCATGATCTTTTAAATGGTGTGTTTAATGCGTCAATTTGTTTCTTTGAAGTAATGATTCTTGTTTGTTTAGTGTAACTTTGGCCGGAGAATTTGGTTACTTTAGTTACGAGTTTAGTGGTCTATATGGATGGGAGTGATTTATACGCAAGGATTTGGATTTTTAGTCGTCTATTTGTCGATTTCTTCTCTCCTTTTTCCAAACTTGCAAGGAAATGCTAATTTTCTCATGAACTTTAATTTTAGCTAATTACACTCCTGAACTTTTATACCTGGCCAATTTCCCAACTAAACTTTAATTTTAGCCGATACTTCTTTTAATTTTTTATAATTAACTAATTTTTTTCCTGAATTTTAATTTTATAATTGCAAAAATGTAATTTTATCTCTAATGTGGATAACATTTTTTTTTCTTCCTCTCTTCCGCTGGTTTAGTCCATACATTTTTTGTTTGAACTTTAGGGCTTAGGGGGGAATTAAAGTTGCAAATTATATAAGTTTAAGAGGTAATCAGTAAAAATTAAAATTCACAGGAAAAATTGACCAATTATAAAAGTTCAGGAGACAATCGGCCAAAATTAAAGTTTAGGGGAAAATTAGCAATTCCTTACAAGTTTGGTGAGAATTGATAGCTCCTTACAAGTTTGGTAAGGAAATCAGCCATTACCTCTAATAAAACTATAAAACTAGTATTCAGCGCTTGGAATTGAGGTTTGAAATTTCCTCAATCCAAACGGACCCCAATTGCAATTTATGACTTCCTTTGTCCCCGTGATCAAGGGTTTTAGCCTTAACTTGCCGAAAACAGTCTCAACTTATTTTTGACAAAAATGCTCATAGACTAATGGTATGTTTATTACAGTGGAATGGGAGTGGAAAAAAGGAAAATTGATTCTTTCTCAAGTGATTCCACGGTTTAATAGTTTAATAATTTTTTAGGATTAAAAATGTAGGCGGAGTACACCAACATCAGTAATTACACACACTCATGAAAAATCATGAACTCCAAATTTCAACACTCTGGGGCATGCGATTTTGACTCCAAGAGAAAGCTCGAGATGGAGATTCGTATTGCGTGAGATTATTATAAAATTTTGAAATTTATCCTAAATTTTTTATTTTAAGGCTTACTTTTAACTTCGCTCTTTAAAACTCGATTTCGATATCACTTTACTCTCTGAAACTCAAAAGTCGTCACTTTGTTCCTTCAAACTCGATTCCGATCTCATTTTACCTCCTGAAACTCATAAGTCGTTACTTTACCCTAAACTGATCAATATTCTCTCCACTTTGGCTTGTTTCAATGTATTCCACTAAATCACGTATCATTAAGTTTATTTAAGTGGCATAATTAGGGCCCACTTATGGCTGACGTGGCACAAGTATAAAGCTCACGTATCCAATTAAATGGTGCCACAAAGATTGAAACAAAAAAATATAAATTTTCAAACATTGTATAACATATTAAAAAATAGGAAAAGTAAGAAAAATAGCAAAAATAATTGTCCATACACTCATCCCTTCTCCCTCCATCTCCAGCCACCTTATCATTAGTTTCATTAATTTCATTATTTCTTATGTTCTTAATAGAGTCGGCTGGTGAAGAGAGAATATGGTTCTTTTTGTTTGCTTTTACTAATGATAAAATTTGAATGGATGAACGTATTCTAAAAAAACAGAAACAAGGCAATGTAGAGCGAATTTTAAGTTTCAAGGAGTTGAGTAGCGAGTTTTGAGTTTTAGATAGGAAAATTGAATCAAAATCGCATAGACTAAATTGATAACTTTTGAGTGGCTACAACATATTTGAATTTTTTATGGACTATTGTCTATTCCAAAGATAATAGAGGTTGATTAATTTGATTGAGTGTGTATTATTTTTAATATGTCTTTTTTTATTAGCATCCCTGACACGTATGACCCTGATATTCTCCAAACATCAGGGTAGGCACGTGTTGACCGACACCCCAAGGTGACGAAGCCATATTAGGATGCATGAGAACTAAAAACAATTAACCGACATAAATAAAACTTGTAAATTTAAATATAATGAATATGCAATTGTGGAACGTGTTTAGAGCATACGACTAATTCAAGACACTAAAAAGGAAAAATATAAAATTGAATGAACAAAGGATGGCTTCTACACCGAGAGGACTCGAAGATGCTGATGCGGGAATGCCTTGATGCCGGAATTGTATGCCACGAATCTAAGTCCTGAGGAGGTGCAAAACAAAACATGAGTAGACCAAGTTGATATATAAGTAATACTGAAACAGTTATTCATCAATGTACTAACCCCCAAAGTTTATGAAAACTCAATAGTATAGTATGTAATAGGTTTTCCGAAAACCCTAGCATGCCATAAAACCTTTCATAAAACATATATCGTATATAATGTGCTTATTAGTAGTATCAAAATCACCCTTAGGCATTACATCTCCCAATTGAAGTCACATATCAATATCTTCCAGTCGAAGCCACCTATCCACGCCCTACCGAAGCCATCTACAAACACCCGACCGAAGCCAATATAAATATCTCTCGGCCGAAGCCACTAACCAAACGGCCAGCCGAAGCCAATATAAGTATCATTCGCCCGTAGACAGTATCATTGAATAACCACTAAGTAAGTACATAAAAACATTAACATAATCTTTCTAATATATATATATATATATATATATATTGTTGATGCACAAAATCGATGAGGACTTTGGTACAACAGAAAGTGTCAAGTTTGTGACATTCGCTAGATTGCTCTGATCACTAGTATGGATAAGTATGTAAATGGATAGAGACAGGGAAGCAAACACAAGATGTACGTGGTTCACCCAGATTGGCTACGTCCACGGAGTAGAGGAGTTCTCATTAATTGTGAAGGGTTTACACAAGTACATAGGTTCAAGCTCTCCTTTAGTGAGTGCTAGTGAATGATTTAGTACAAATGACATTAGGAAATATTGTGGGAGAATGATCTCCTTTTATAGAAGAGTTTCTAGCTTTGTTTTGATATTGACACGTGTTGTGTTGTGATTGGCTTCTGATGTTGACATGTGTCGCGCTGTGATTGGTTTCTGATGTCGACACGTCTCGCACTGTGATTGGCCTCCTAGTTGGAGGGAAACTTTTCTGGATCCTTGATGGTATAACGTTGACCAGTGCTTAGTAGTTTCGAGATTGGTCAAGTATGGTACAAACATATATCTCAAACGGAGTTCAGTAACTAAAGCGTCATATCAAAAAACCATGTTCACAAGTATGTATATAATCATCAATCATATATACCACAAGGAACGTAAAGTCGATATAGCATTATATTTCATAAAGCATGAATCCAATTTTCTCATAAACGTTTCCATAAAATGTAGTCATAAAATCATGCTTTTCATGTATGCACTTCTAATAGTAAAATATGCATTTTAGAAGGGGTCCACTCACCTTATACCGTTGGAGAAGAGCCGTGCAAACAAGGGTAGACGGAAATGCCACTAATAAACGCACCTAAGCACCTAAAGGTACCAATTAATAAAACTCTATCATAACGATTGAATTTCGGAAAACAGAAGTCATAAACGAACTTAAGACATTGAAAAACATAAGGGGGGACCTCGGGTACCCCCATACGCCGCCATATGCACCTCACTCACAGCCATGGGGCGGTGGCTCGGATGGCCACACGCCACCACACGAGCTGCCACACGCCGATTTGGGTTGTCAGAAAGTTGGCTGGAAAAGTCGTCAGCGTTGTCGTGGTCGCCGTCGGAGCACAGTACCTCGGGTGGAGGCACGTGTGCTCCACACGCAGGCTAAGGCAGATGTCCACGCGCGGACCCACGCACTGACTGGGTTCTGGGTTTAGGTCGGTTCATTTGGGTTGGACCGAGGGTTTTGGGCCACAAGGTTGGGCTTAGGCAATTGGGTCTAGGTTTAGGGTAATTGGGTTGGACTAGGTTTAGGGTTCTAGGTTAATGGGTCAAGAATTTGGGTTTAGGCTGGGTTTCAACTTGGGTTTTGGATTTGGATTTAAGGGTTTGGGTCGGGTCAACCCGGTTTCAGGCCATGGTTTGGCCGGTTTCTGGGCAAGGTTTCAAACGCTCATAACTTCCTCAATACTCAATCAAATCGAGTGATTCAAAAACCAAAGTTGTAGTACTCAATGAGATGAAGAGAATGGTACCTTGTACGATGGCTAACTCATCGTGGTTTGGTAGGAAAACGCATCAAAAGTGGCAGTACTTGTCGGAAAACTGGGAAAAGCTACTTTGAGCTATTTTCTACGATTAACACATATGTACAACTTAAAATAAGCTTCAATCTAACCCTAAAACACATCCCAAGAGTTTCTAGAAGCTTACCAACGTTGAAAAATCACAAAGCATATCGGGGAAGACGATGAACAGTGCCAACGTCAATGTGGAGTTCTTTGGTGTTGGTACGGGGTTTTCAAAGCCTTTCCATCCAAGTGGTGAGCTTGGGGTTGTGTGTTGTTGTGTGAATGAAGTCAGAGAGGTGGGGGAGAGCTTGCAGAGAGAGAGAGTCTAGGGGTGAGTGTTAGAGAGAATGAGAGAAAGTGAGAAGTGAGGGAGAAGGAGAGAGAGCTGTAAGAGAAAATAGATATGAGGGATTTGGGCCGGGGCACAAGAATCAAGGGTGGGCCCCCCTTGGCACACCAAATAAGACCAAAAGCAATCTCATTTCAAAATATCTAGCTCAAAGTGAAAATTTACGAAAATACCCTTCCGTTCCGTAAATTCCGGGACAAGTTGTTACAATCCCATATAATGGTGAATACACTCTACATTAAATTTAATATTAAATAACTTATTTACCTACTATGCAATGACAATTTCAACCGTATAGGGTTTCTAAAAATAAAAATTTCTAAATACACCCCAAATCATTTTAACATATATATTCAAGATTATTTATGTTCTTCAACTCTCAAAACCTCTCTCACCCTCCGTGATGATTCCAACTTTTAAGTATCCCTTCAGTGGAAAATTTTCCAAACCCCAACAACTATGAACAAGTTGCTAATTCTGCAGTGAGTTTGAACAAATAAAGTGGAAATTGAAAACAAGAAGGATACTTCATTAGCAGTGGCGAAGCCAGGATTTCTCGTGGGGAGGGGCGAACTTAAAAGAATGCAAGGTTAAAGAAAAATGGCAACAACTAAATCTTTTTTATATAGTAATGTCTTCCATAATTAATCAATACAAACAAATTACAATTGTTGCCGGCGAGGTTTCATGTCATGAAAACGTCACATAATAGGCTCATTATTAATAAAAGCAAATACATCTTTCTCAATGTAAACAGACATGTTATCACTCAACCATTGATCTCTCATTTTGTTACGCAATGGTGTTTCACAATCTTAGGGTAGACTATACTATAGTATGCATAATAACTAATCCAACTAACCAACAATTCAATTAATCAATACCAATAAGCATACAATTGATTCAACAAATAGAAATTCAATTCAACTAATCATATTCATATGAATACGACTAATCAATTCAACTAATCATCAAGAATTCAAATTTTAATTTTCACCCTAAAAAATAATTTCATATCAATAATCATAGAACCATATTAGTGCATTATCATATGATTCTATACCAATTAAATGAAATTCGTATTAAATAATTAATTAGGGTTAGGGATTATACATTTAGGAATTAAAAAATTTACCTTTAAAGAATGGAAGCCGATGGCTCAATGGCTAGAGAATGGCTTGTGATGGCAGCAAGAAGCCAAACGGGAACAGAAATTGAAAACATTTCCGTTCCGTTGGTGTTGGAACTTGGTTGGCTGCTGCTGGGATTTTGAAAGCAGTGGGACCTCACCTCTCTGTCTGATTGGTGAACAGGTTACGAGAGGGATAGAAGAAAGTAAAGGGGAAACGAGTGGGGGACAAGGCGACACGCACGCGGTCCCCCCTATATAATATTTTTTTTCTTTTCAAAACGGCGCCGTTTCACTTAAAAATTTTTAATTTTTTTAACAGGACCAAAACGACGTCGTTTTGGCCTGGATTTAAAAAAAAAAAAAGAGCTAATATGCTGCTGCTGTGTGGCAGAACAGAGAACCCAACATCATCGGCAACAAAAACAGAGGATGAAACCAGTGGGTTTTCCGGTTAGGGGAATGGCGAACCCAGATCTCCAATGGTGTTTCCCGGCGAGGGGAGTGGCGACCGCCACTCCTCGCCCTCACGTGGCTTCGCCACTGTTCATTAGAGCACGTGGCTCGCATCTTCCCCATTCTTGGTTGATCATCATATCTGCTGATCACTGTGCTTATGGACTCTCTTGCCATATTTTCAGCACAAACTTCAGCATTCTGAGATTAGTTGCAGCTGTAACTTTTACTATTGGCTCGGTTGCTTCATTCCGTCTCCGGTAGCTTTGGTTTATTCCGTTTGAGACTTTCGACTTTTATGTCGAAAACTAGATTCGCGGGATTCCTTCACTCTAATTTTATTTAAGCCTATCAATTTTCTTATCCGAAAACTTTTATGAGGCACAAAAAACCTACTCGTCTCCTTCCATACTGTTCTTTCCTTTTGCTGTTTTCAATTGCTTAGGTTGATCGCTGTTTCTTCGCAGTTTCGACTGGCTCCTTGATCATAAAAGAACAACTAAATTTCACCCATATTTTTTGCTCTTTATTGTACAAACAATATTATGAAGCGAAAATTGAACTTGAGACGTCAAGTGCAAAATAAAAACTTGAGACCTCAAGCGAGGATCAAACTTCAGCCACGTGCCATGTTCTTAGAGACCTCAAGATGTAAAAACTTGTTCGATCCTTGAGACCTCAAGATAATGTTCTTAGAAGATAATGTTCGATTCTCGCTTGAGGTCTCAAGTTTTTATTTTGCACTTAAAAGGAACTGTACTGTGTTTGGTTTTCAACGATCGAACAAGGTTCCAGACAGACATTTAATTAGTTGTTTCTTTGGCAGTGCAACTTTAAATGGAGAGAGTAGAGAGAAGGAATCAAATCACTTGGTAGTGGAATTTTATTTGGAGGCTTGGTTTTTAAGGATCGAACAATATTCTGTGACAGTGGAACTTTAAATGGAGAGAGTAGAGAGAAAGAATCAAATCACTTGGCGATGAAACTTTATTTGGAGGCTTGGTTTTCAAGGATCGAACAAGATTCTTTGGCAATGGAACTATAAATGGAGAGAGTAGAGAAAATGAATCAAATCACTTAGCAATGGAACTTTATTTGGAGACTTGGTTTTCAAGGATCAAACAAGATTCTTTGACAGTGGAACTTTCAATGGAGAGAGTAGGGAGAAGGAATCACACAGCAGTGAAGTGTGGAACTTTATTTGGACTTGGAGGCTTAATTCTTGCATCTATTCTTCCAAATATATGCTTCCAAATCCATTCTTCCAAATATACCTCCTAGGATTAAAATTTTTATTTAGACTCTCACGGATTGACACGGACATGAATACGATGAACACGACGACACTGCAAATCTCAAAAAATAAAAGACACGACACGGTTAGTACATTGCGATTAAAATAGAATAAATTTATATTAACACCCCACTTTGTTGAATACACCATACATACTTAATACACCCACATTTGTTTTTTTAATTAAAATTTATCTAAATACACACATACACTTCCCATACTACCCTCACACCCCACACTCACACTATACACTTTACATTTTCTACACCCACATATTCTATATACACTTCACACTCTTCACATCCTAGGTGCAAGTGAAGGACTATGGAAGTATCATTCTTCTATTCATTTTAAGTAAAGAAACAAAATGGAATTGAAAAAAGATCATAGAAGTATCCTTCTTGTTTTAAGATAATGTTCTTAGAAGATTATGTGTGTGAAAAAATCTTGTTTGAGGTCTCAAGCGCGATTCCTTCTCTTCATTTAAAGTTCCACTACCAAAAAATCTTGTTCGATCCTTGAAAATCAAGCCTCCAAATAAAGTTCCACGCCAAGTGATTCAATTTCTTTTCTCTACTCTCTCCATTTAAAGTTCAACTGCCAAAGAATATTGTTTGATCCTTGAAAACCAAGCCTCCAAATAAAGTTCCACTGCCAAAGAATAAAACCAAGCCTCCAAATAAAGTTCCAATGCCAAGTGATTTGATTCCTTCTCTCTCTTCTCTCCATTTAAAGTTCACTGCCAAAGAATCTTGTTCGATCCTTGAAAACCAAGCCTCCAAATAAAGTTCCATAGTCAAGTGATTTGATCCCTTCTCTCTACTCTCTCCATTTAAAGTTCCATTGCCAAAGAATCTTGTTCGATCCTTGAAAACCAATCCTCCAAATAAAGTTCCACGGTTAAGTGATTTGATTCCTTCTCTCTCCTCTCTCCATTCAAAGTTCCATTGCCAAATAATCTTGTTCGATCCTTGAAAACCAAGCCTTCAAATAAAGTTCCATTGCCAAGTGATTTGATTCCTTCTCTCTACTTTCTCCATTTAGAGTTCCCTTGCCAAATAATCTTGTTCGATCCTTGAAAACCAATCCTTCAAATAAAGTTCCACTACCAAATGATTTGATTCCTTCTCTCTCCTCTCTCCATTTAAAGTTCCATTGCCAAAGAATCTTGTTTGATCCTTGAAAACCAAGCCTCCAAATAAAATTTCACTGCGAAGTGATTTGATTCCTTCTTTCTCTCCTCTTCCTTCACTCTAATTTTATTTAAACCTATCAATTTTCTTATCCGAAAACTTTTATGAGGCACAAAAAAACCTACTCGTCTCCTTCCTTGTTCTTCCCTTTTGCTGTTTTCAATCGCTTAGGTTGATCGCTGTTTCTTCGCAGTTTCGACTGGCTCATTGATCATAAAAGAACAAATAATTTTCACCCATATTTTTTGCTCTTTATTATACAAACAATATTATGAAGCAAAAATTGAACTTGAGACCTCAAGTGCAAAATAAAAACTTGAGACCTCAAGTGAGAATCGAACTTCAGCCACGTGCCATGTTCTGAGAGACCTCAAGATGTAAAAACTTGTTCGATCCTTGAGACCTCAAGATAATGTTATTAGAAGATAATGTTTGATTCTCGCTTGAGGTCTCAAGTTTTTATTTTTCATTTGAGGGACAATGAGCTAGCAATAATGTGATTCAATCAGTTGTTTATTAAATATTATTTTCTCTATTCTTAATATAAATTCAATAGAGACCGATTTTATTATGTGGATTCAGCCGCTTTAATTGATTTATGAGGGGTTTCTTCTAGCATGATCCAAGATTATTCGTTTACTTCAAATATTTGAATTTTCTTTTGTCAATTTACGCATATAAATACATTTAAAACGTGTAAATCACACGTAACATACCATGATTAAAAAAAGGAGTAATTAGGTTTTCATCCTTATTTTTACTACTCTATTGATTAAAACCTTATTACTTTTCAATTTTTGATCAAGGTCCTTTGTATTAATAATATCATTAATTATTTCAATAATAAAATATTTTTTATTTCTAAATATATTCATTTAATATTAAAAATGTTACAATTAGTATATTTTATTTATGGCTAAATTTTTTATCATACATTTTTATTTTTAGTTTGTACCCATTTTTAATTTGCAACCCTTTTTTAATTTGTATCAATTTTCCTTTCAGTTTTAATTTGTACCCATATATTAATTTCTTTTTGTGCCCATATTATTTTAAAGTTTTATTTGTATTGTACCAATATTTTTTTATTTATTTGTACCCATTTTTTTTTTGCTAAATGTACCCATTTTGAAGAATGTACCCATGTTTTGATACAATAATTTTTTGGTTATTTTTTATGAATGTACCCATGTTTACACACACACACACACAATAGTATATTTATATTTTAATATTTTTAATCCCACAAATTATGGATTTTTATTTAAAATCTCATTACTATAAACAACTATAAATTTTAATTTTTAATTTAAAAAATATAGTAACATACATAGAAATAAATTATCAATTAATTTCAGGGACTTGGATCAAAAATTGAAAACCAACAAGGTTTCAGTCAAAGACTGTTCATAACTAGGGACCGCATCCAAAATCTCCCTTAAAAAAATGTCTTCTGCACACGCGTGCGCAAGAAGGCTAGTGAATTAATACTTGAACTGGAAATTAAGGCCAAAAGTATGACTAAACATACCAACCGGTGGACTTTGCTGCTCCTGATCCCGAACAGCCTCCATTGCTTCAAACTTGTATAATCCAATGGGTCTTCTCAATATTCTGCAAATACCCAAATCAAAGACTCAAACCAAAAATTAGAAAGTGTTTTGTTTTCTTTGGAACTTTCTCGGGAAACAAACAGAAAAAGGAAAATAGAAAATAAAAAAGCGGGACTTACTTGGAGTTTATAGGCTCATTGTATGATGAGATACATAAAAGATTGAGAGGAACTGTACTGTGTTTGGTTTTCAAAGATCAAACAAGGTTCCAGACAGACATTTAATTAGTTGTTACTTTGGCAGTGGAACTTTAAATGGAGAAAAGAGAGAGAATGAATCAAATCACTTGGCAGTGCAACTTTATTTGGAGTCTTGGTTTTCAAGGATCGAACAAGATTCTTTGGCAGTGGAAATTTAAATGGAGAGAGCAGAGAGAAGGAATCAAATCACTTGGCAATGGAACTTTATTTGGAGGCTTGGTTTTCAAGGATCGAACAAGATTCTTTGGCAGTGAAACTGAAATGGAGAGAGTAATGGCAATGAAACTTTATTTGGAGGCTTGGTTTTCAAGGATCAAATAAGATTCTTTGGCAATGGAACTTTAAATGGAGAGAGTAGGGAGAAGGAATCACACGGCAGTGGAAGTGTGGAACTTTATTTGGACTTGGAGGCTTAATTCTTGCATCTATTCTTCCAAATATATGCTTGCATATCTATTCTTCCAAATATATGCTTCCAAATCCATTCTTCCAAATATACCCCCTAGGATTAAAACTTTTATTTAGACTCTCACGCATGGATACGGACATGAATACGACGAACACAGCGACACTACAAATCTCAAAAAATAAAAGACATGACACATTTAGTACATCGCGATTCAAATAGAATAAAGTTATATTAACACCCCACTTTGTTGAATACATCATACATACTTAATACACCCACATTTGCTTTTTTAATTAAAATTTATCGTAATACACCCCACACACTTCCCATACTACCCTCACACCCCACACTCTCACTATACACTTTACATTTTCTAGTTCCACATATTCTATATACACTTCACACTCTGCACATCTTAGCTACAAGTGAAGGATTATGGAAGTATCATTCTTCTATTCATTTTAAATAAAGAAATAACATGGAATTGAAAAAAGATCATAAAAGTATCCTTCTTGTTTCAAGATAATGTTCTTAGAAGATGATGTGTGTGAAAGAATCATGCTTGAGGTCTCAAGCGTGATTCCTTCTCTCAACTCTCTTCATTTAAAATTCCACTGCCAAAGAATCTTGTGATCCTTGAAAACCAAGCCTCCAAATAAAGTTCCACTACCAAGTGATTTGTTTGCTTCACTCTGCTCTCTCCATTTAAAGTTCCACCGCCAAAGAATCTAGTTCGATCATTGAAAACCAAACCTCCAAATAAAGTTCCATTGCAAGTGATTTGATTCATTCTCTCTCCTCTCTCCATTTAAAGTTCCACGGCCAAAGAATCTTGTTCAATCCTTGAAAACTAAGCCTCCAAATAAAGTTTCCTTGCCACGTGATTTGATTCCTCCTCTCTCCTCTCTCCATTTAAATTCCCACTTCCAAGGAATCCTCGATCCTTGAAAACCAAGCCTCCAAATAAAGTTCAATTGCCAAGTGATTTGATTCATTCTCTCTACTCTCTCTCCATTTAAAGTTCCACTGCCAAATGATTTGATTCCTTCTCTCTCCTCTCTCCATTTAAAGTTGCACTTCCAAAGAATCTTGTTGGATCCTTGAAAACCAAGCTTCCAAATAAAGTTCCACTGCCAAGTGATTTGAATCCTTCTCTCTCCTCTCCCCATTTAAAGTACCACTGCCAAAGAATCTTAATCAATCCTTGAAAACCAAGCATCCAAATAAATTTCCACTACCAAGTGATTTGATTCCTTCTCTCTCCTCTCTCCAATTAAAGTTCCACTACAAAAGAATCTTGTTCAATCCTTGAAAACAAAACCTCCAAGCCTCCAAATAAAGTTCCACTACGAAGTGATTTGATTCCTTATCTCTACTCTCTCCATTAAAGTTCCACTACCAAAGAATCTTGTTCAATCCTTGAAAAACAAGCCTCCAAATAAAGTTCCACTACCAATTGACTTAATTCCTTCTCTCTCATCTCTCCATTTAAAGTTCAATTGCCAAAGAATATTGTTCGATCCTTCAAAACCAAGCCTCCAAATAAAGTTCCACTGCCAAGTGATTTGATTCCTTCTCTCTACTGTCCCGTTAAATTTCCGTTACCAAGTGATTTGATTCCTTCTCTCTCCTCTCTCCATTTAAATTCCACTGGCAAAGAATCTTGTTCGATCCTTGAAAACCAAGCCTTCAAATAAAGTTTCACTGCCAAGTGATTTGATTCCTTCTCTTTACTCTCTCCATTTAAAGTTCCACTGCCAAGTGATTTGATTCATTCTCTCTCCTCTCTCAATTTAAAGTGCCACTACCAAAGAATCTTGTTCGATCCTTGAAAACCAAGCTCCCAAACAAAGTTCCATTGCCAAGTGATTTGATTCCTTCTCTTTCCTCTCTCCATTTAAGTTCCACAGCCAAAGAATCTTGTTCCATCCTTGAAAACCAAGCCTCCAAATAAAGTTCCACTAATAAGTGATTTGATTCCTTCTCTCTCTTCTCTCCATTTAAAGTTCCACTACCAAAGAATCTTGTTTGATCGTTGAAAACCAAGCCTTCAAATAAAGTTCCAGTGCCAAGTGATTTGATACCTTCTCTCTACTCTCTCCATTTAAAGTTCCACTACCAAGTGATTTGATTCCTTCTCTCTCCTCTCTCCATTTAAAGTTCCACTGCCAAAGAATCTTGTACGATCCTTGAAAACCAAGTTTCCAAATAAAGTTCCACTGCCAGTGATTTGATTCCTTCTCTCTCCTCTTTCCATTTAAAGTTCCACTGCCAAAGAATCTTGTTCGATCCTTGGAAACCAAGCCTCCAAAAAAAGTTCCCCTACCAAGTGATTTGATTCCTTCTCCCTCCTATATCCATTTAAAGTTCAACTACCAAAGAATCTTGTTAGATCCTTGGAAACGAAGCCTCCAAATAAAGTTCCACTACCAAATGATTTGATTCCTTATCTCTACTCTCTCCATTTAAGGTTCCATTACCAAAGAATCTTGTTCGATCCTTGAAAAACAAGCCTCCAAATAAAGTTCCACTACCAAGTGACTTAATTCCTTCTCTCTTCTCTCTCTATTTAAAGTTCAACTGCCAAAGAATATTGTTCGATCCTTGAAAACCAAGCCTCCAAATAAAGTTTCACTGCCAAGTGATTTGATTCATTCTCTCTACTATCTCCATTTAAAGTTCCACTACCAAAAAATCTTGTTCGATCCTTGAAAACCAAGCCTCCAAATAAAGTTCCACTGCCAAGTGATTTGATTCCTTCCCTCTACTCTCTACATTTCAAGTTCCACTGCCAAGTGAGTTGATTCATTCTCTCTCCTCTCTCCATTTAAAGTTCCACTGGCAAAGAATCTTGTTCGATCCTTGAAAACCAAACTTCCAAATAAAGTTCCACTGCCAAGTGGTTTGATTCCGTCTCTCTCATCTCTCCATTTAAAGTTCAATTTCCAAAGAATCTTTTTCGATCCTTGAAAACCAAGCCACCAAATAAAGTTCCACTGCCAAATGATTTGATTCCTTCTCTTTACTCTCTCCATTTAAAGTTCTATTGCCAAGTGATTTGATTCATTCTCTCTCCTATCTCCATGTAAAGTTCCATTGCCAAATAATCTTGTTCGATCCTTGAAAAACAAACTTCCAAATAAAGTTCCATTTCCAAGTGATTTGATTCCTTCTATTTCCTCTCTCCATTTAAGTTCCACTGCCAAATAATCTTGTTCGATCCTTAAAAACCAAGCATCCAAATAAAGTTCCACTAACAAGTGATTTGATTCCTTTTCTCTCCTCTCTCCATTTAAAGTTCCACTACCAGAGAATCTTGTTTGATCGTTGAAAACCAAGCCTCCAAATAAAGTTCCACTGCCAAGTTATTTGATCCCTTCTCTCTACTCTCTCCATTTAAAGTTCCACTGCCAAGTGATTTGTTTCCTTCGCTCTCATCTCTCCATTTAATGTTCCACTGCTAAAGAATCTTGTTCGATTCTTGAAAACCAAGCTTCCAAATAAAGTGTCACTGCCAAGTGATTTGATTCCTTCTATCTCATCTCTCCATTTAAAGTTCCACTGCCAAAGAATCTTGTTCAATCCTTGAAAACCAAGCCTCCAAATAAAGTTCCACTACCAAGTGATTTGATTCCTTCTCTCTCATCTCTACATTTAAAGTTCCAGTATCAAAGAATCTTGTTCAATCCTTGAAAACGAAGCCTCCAAGCCTCCAAATAAAGTTCCATTACCAAGTGATTTGATTCCTTATCTCTACTTTCTCCATTTAAGGTTCCACTACAAAAGAATCATGTTCGATCTTTGAAAAACAAGCCTCCAAATAAAGTTCCAATGCAAGTGACTTAATTCCTTCTCTCTCCTCTCTCCATTTAAAGTTCTACTGCCAAAGAATATTGTTCGATCCTTGAAAACCAAGCCTCCAAATAAAGTTTCACTGCCAAGTGATTTGATTCCTTCTCTCCACTCTCTCTATTTAAAGTTCCACTACCAAAAAATCTTGTTCGATCCTTGAAAACCAAGCCTCCAAATAAAGTTGCAATGCCAAGTGATTTGATTCCTTCTCTCATCTCTCCATTTAAAGTTCAATTGCCAAAGAATCATTTTCGATCCTTAAAAACTAGGGCTCCAAATAAAGTTCCACTGCCAAGTGATTTGATTCCTTCCCTCTACTCTTTCCATTTAAAGTTCCATTGCCAAAGAATCTTGTTCGATCCTTGAAAACCAAGCCTCCAAATAAAGTTCCACTGCCAAGTGATTTGATTCATTCCTTCTCTTTACTCTCTCCATTTAAAGTTCCACTGCCAAGTGATTTGATTCATTCTCTCTCCTCTCTCCATTTAAAATTCCACTGCCAAAGAATCTTGTTCGATCCTTGAAAACCAAACTTCCAATTAAAGTTCCACTGCCAAGTGATTTGATTCTTTCTCTTTCCTCTCTCCATTTAAGTTCCACTGTCAAATAATCTTGTTCGATCCTTGAAAACCAAGCCTCCAAATAAAGTTCCACTAACAAGTGATTTGATTCCTTCTCTCTCCTCTCTCCATTTAATGTTCCACTACCAAAGAATCTTGTTTGATCGTTGGAAACCAAGCCTCCAAATAAAGTTCCATTGTCAAGTGATTTGATTCCTTCTCTCTACTTTCTCCATTGAAAGTTCCACTACGAAAGAACTTTTTTCGATCCTTAAAAACCAAGCCTGCAAATAAAGTTCCACAGCCAAGTGATTTGATTCTTTCTCTCTCCTTTCTCCATTTAAAGTTCTACTGCCAAAGAATCTTGTTCGATCCTTGAAAACCAAGCCTCCAAATAAAGTTCCACTGCCAAGTGATTTGATTCCTTCTCTTTACTCTTTCCATTTAAAGTTCCACTGCCAAGTGATTTGATTCCTTCTCTCTCCTCTCTCCATTTAAAGTTCCACTACCAAAGAATCTTGTTTGATCGTTGAAAACCAAGCCTCCAAATAAAGTTCCACTGCCAAGTGATTTGATTCATTATCTCTACTCTCTCCATTTATTGTTCAACTGCCAAGTGATTTCATTGATTCTCTCTCCTCTTTCAATTCAAAGTTCCACTACCAAAGAATCTTGTTTGATCGTTCAAAACCAAGCCTCCAAATAAAGTTCCACTACCAAGTGTTTTGATTCCTTCTCTTTACTCTCTCCATTTAAAGTTCCATTGCCAAGTGATTTGATTCCTTCTCTCTCCTCTCTCCATTTAAAGTTCCACTACCAAACAATCTTGTTTGATCGTTGAAAACCAAGCCTCCAAATAAAGTTCCACTGCCAAGTGATTTGATTCATTCTCTACTCTCTCCATTGAAAGTTCCACTACGAAAGAATTTTGTTCGATTCTTAAAAACCAAGCCTGCAAATAAAGTTCCATTATCAAGTGATTTGATTCCTTCTCTCTCTTTCTCCATTTAAAGTTCTACTGCCAGAGAATCTTGTTCGATCCTTAAAAACCAAGCCTTCAAATAAAGTTCCACTGCCAAGTGATTTGATTCCTTCTCTTTACTCTCTCCATTTAAAGTTCCACTGCCAAGTGATTCGATTCATTCTCCCTCTTCTCTCCAATTGAAGTTCCACTGCCAAAGAATCTTGTTCGATCTTTGAAAACCATGCCTCCAAATACTGTTCCACTGCCAAGTGATTTGATTCATTCTCTCTCATCTCTCCATTTAAAGTTCCACTGCTAAAGAATCTTGCTTGATCGTTGAAAATCAAGCCTCCAAATAAAGTTCCATTAACAAGTGATTTGATTCCTTCTCTCTCCTCTCTCCATTTAAAGTTCCACTACCAAAGAATCTTGTTGGATCCTTGGAAACATGCCTCCAAATAAAGTTACACTGCCAAGTGATTTGATTCCTTCTCTCTACTCTCTCCTTTTAATGTTCCACTACGAAAGAATCTTGTTCGATCCTTAAAAACCAAGCTTGCAAATAAAGTTCCACTGCCAAGTGATTTGATTCATTCTCTCTCCTCTCTCCATTTAATGTTCCATTGCCAAAGAAT